TAAAGTCGCCGTCTCTATTAGCGCCAATGTTGCGTTAATGGCGGCAAAGGGGAAAATCAGAAGAAAAAAACATAAAAAAAAGACGACGAGCGGGTGAAAGCGGAAGTGTTTCCCGTGATTGGGCCAACTTTTCTAATTAGCGTCAGTCAAAGGATTCTCGGGGATCCGTCGTCTTCGTTAAATTTCGTATGCATATCAAATGCAGCTTAATGAAACGCACAGCTAAAGTTGATACCAACGCAAGCAAACATCATCATAAAATATGCTATCAAAAAACGCCGGCAAAAACTCCTTTCCAAGGCATTAGAAATGCCAACGAAAACAAAACTAACACGGAACTTTTCAACGCAAAAACCACAAAAACACACGCGCCAATCGACAATGTCGATTATATTTCAAGCTGAAAGAGCAAGGATTCCAGGGATTCAGCGCGGATTGGAGGAGACAAGGCAGACGGGGACGGAGACTGAGACTCCTCCTCTTGGCAGCTGTTGAAAGTTAAACCGAAAAAGCATCAAAAGCGGCTGCTGCTCGTAATTACAGATTGCAAAACGAAACGAATCGAAAAGTAAACGATGTCGATGAAGTTGAGCCGGAAAGATGCGGAAACAGATACGGAAAAGCGGGATGCAAACCCGGCAAAACTTCAACTTCAAAAACTGATGACTGAAGCAGTCGCCGGAGCCGTAAAACTAACCGCCCCACCTGGCCCAGGAGAGAGAGTGAATCGAGTCCCCATTCCTCCCGAGAAAGGGTAAACTTTGCACTACAGCAGCGCCGTCTTAAGCGATTTTCTGCTACGTCGAGCTGCACAACAATATTCACCGGAGTGCACTGTAAACGTACCGAAATCAAGGACACATCCTATGAATCAAAAGTAATCTAGAAACCATTCAATTATGGTTCAATCTCCCTCAAGTTTTATCCATCTTTCGTGCCCGAGTTATCTTCAAATAATGTGAGTCGATAATCGAGTTGTTTATTTTAAGTTTGATGTGTATAAAGAGGAGTATCTCATAACAAGATTGCAGGTATTTAAACGATTAACGAGACTAAGATGTTGAAGCTTCTAGAATATGTTTTAAAAATTAATTCAAATTTCTCCATTTACCTGTCGAGATCCTCAAGGTAACACTTATTCCCCCAGTGTATGCTGGAAAAGATAAAAGTAGCCCGACGTAGGCGCAAAGCTCGGCGAATATGTGAGCAAATTCACGGCAAACGAAAATTAAGAAACTTGCAGCCAGTCTTGCCGCCTTCTTCACAGACACTGTTCTGGAGGGGCGTGGCTGCGGGGTTACCTGGCGCTGATTGCATCGCCTCCAGAGGCAGGGCGGAGCGCAGGTGAGATGGTAGAGATGCCTTACTTATTTATGGCGCACAGGTAAACTGTGCATGTGCCATCATCTTGATAAATGTTCGCTGCCAGTGCATGACTATGGGAAATGGATTCCGAGCTGAGACGCTTCTTGATTTAGCATGCGGCAGCTGAGTTATGCCGCCACCCACCGGGTATCCCCTTGCAGCATCCTGGGGAACTTCAATTAGAGCCGCCCAGTCGCGCAGCTTTGGGCGCCGAAGTTGCAGATGGTCAGCAGCTAAGTGGCGGCCAAGACGCGCTGCCAACGCCCCGAGCAAGACGCACTTACAAAGACAAATGCCGGCTAAGCTGTCCTCCCCTAAAACACAGAGAGAGAAATTAAGAGGTAAATCTTGGACATTACCAGGAACTTGAATATTCTACAGAGAAAAATACAAAAGAATACATTTTTATTCGAAGCTCCCCCTCTTTTTCCTCAGTGACTTTTCAGCTAGCTTGCTGCTGGTCGTCTTGAAAAATAAACGAGTCAGCATTTGTAGCGTTGATTGAATTGTCAGAGGTGAGCTCAGGAGCCAGGGTGTCCATCCTGCCCCATTCTAGGAGGATTCCATCCGCTGACATCCCCACACACACACACACACACACACACACACATACACACCCTCTCTCGCCCGGCGAAGTGAGCGGAGCTCGTCGCTCGGCGCTTTTCAATTAAAACTATTGTCAACGACAATAAGTTATACAAGTAAAGAGCACGCTGCCTCAGCAGCTGAAGCCGTTGACAGTCGCACGTACGCTTAATTAGAAAAAAGTTGCATTTTTTCTACTGCCTGCTTCCGGCCCTGTCCACCTACTGGCCACCACGCCCACAAGTCAGCTGTCAGCGAGCGGGCAGCACGCCCACATTTTGCAGCGGAAGTAAATTTACACTTCGCTCCTTGGCTGCACTTTTTTTTATTCCTTTCCGACGCGAGGCGAAAAGCGCGACTAATTTTCTTGAGTCCCTCCCCTCGGGCCCAACCAACCTTTTTTTTTCAGTCCCTTCCCCTAGCAGAGCACGTCACACTGCCGAGAGCCGCCGAGTAATCCCAGAAAATTGTATAAAAAATGCAAGCCCCCAGGATGCCACCCACTCATAATTTTCTAAAAACTAAGCTGAGGTCGAGGGGAGATGGCGTTTGGTTATTTTACGCCCGCGAAGACTGCATTTTGCTCTGTTTGCTTTTGGCGCGTGTGACTCGTTGGCCTGGCCTTTGTTCCGGCACCCGTTACTGTACGAGTTTCAGGGGTATATAGGGTGAAAATAGGGGAGAATCTAGGTCTGGGTATAAGACGATGTAACTAACTAATGTTGATCAAGAATATATATGATTTATAGGGTCGGAAATAACTCCTTCTGAAATTGCAATACTGTGTAAAGTTATAAAAAACGCTACCCAAAGTTCTAAAAAAAAAATCAAACTAAAAAAACAGGGTATTTAATATTCCTTACACTGTGTAACGCCGACCCTTTCGTTCCCTTTATTTTTTTTGACGCTGTGGCTTTCACTGCTGACTGTTGGCTGATTTTCCCGGCTCCATCTCCATCTCCGGCTCCATCTCCGCCTCCGTCTCTCCTCTCGGTTCTTTCCCCTCCTCCACCGTCACCTTTTGACTTGCGATGGACAGTGGGGACGATGGGGAACCGTGCCCGGATGTCACGTGCGCATCATTTTCCAACAGCTTTGTTGCTGCTCCTCGTAATTATAACAAGGCGCAGCTTAAATTAGTTGGCCACGCGGCAGGCACCTGAGCTGAACCCAACCTGCTAACCTGTGTGCTCTGGTTCCGTTTTTCTCGGACCCCGGATCCGGGCATTCATTAAACCAGTTCTCGCTCGCATGCGATTTTTATGGTTTGGCCTGGCCCCCGCCGTGGCCCTGCCCCGTGTAGTCGTCCTTTGCCGTGGCTGTGAGTCGGTTTATTTGGCCCTTTGTTTTGTGCATTTTCTGTCAACGTCAGCGTGATTAGTTGTGCCATATTGTGCCACACGCTTTGTACTCGCTCAGTGACCTGGCGCATTGTCATCGAGTCCATTAAGGGGTTAGGCTCCAGCAGAAATTTTCATATTTCCATATGCGAATTTTTTTAGGAAACGAAGAAATCTAGCTTTAAGCAGGAATACATTTTTACTTGAAGTAAAACTTCAGTAAACTAGTTATAATATTAGACTAAATATAGCAATTCATTTTCAATTGAACTAAAATTGTTTCTTTCCCCTTATCAAAAAATCTAGTTTTAGGGGTTTCAAGTGATTTTTCGGCTGTGCGGGTCGGGTGTATAAGCAATTAACAAAACGACAGAAGGCACGAACTCGACCCCAAAAATTCCATATACACCTTTATATCATATATACACAGATATGTGTATATGGGGGGGGGCCCACTTGACTTGATTCCGCTGGCATCTGTTGGCTCTCTCGGCTCCCAGTTTTGAGCTTTCAGCTTTCTGCTTTCAGCTCACAGCTGGCGCTTAGGCCGCGCGCACACTACGAGCTGAAAGCGGAGCTGACGGCTGAGAGCTTATCCGCGGAAAGCTTATCAGCGAGTTGAGCTTTTTGCAGCCGCGCACACTGCGAGCTGAAGCTGATGTTGATTTGTAATTGTTTTTCAAGCAATACGTTTAAAAAAAAACATTTTTTAATTCTTTAATGTTTTTAAAATATCCTTGTTAATGCAATGACATATTTATTTAGAACATCATTGCATTTAAATTTTCGAAATCGGACCACCCAGCTCTCCAGAATATGGTTGACAAAGTAGGTTTTTTTAGTGTACTTTGGCACACTGTATCTCGGAAAGTTGACAATATTTTTATTTTAATAAATATTAAAAAAATTCTTCATACTTTTTTATGTAACTGGACAGAAATTTAAATTTCTCTTACTTAAGCGCTAATTAGGGCAATTTTTTAAAGAATAGTCTAAAAAATCAGCTCGCGTCAGCTGCTAACAAAATCAAACATGTTTGGTTGATCAAACAGAGCGGAGCGGAGCTGACCTTATCAGCTTTCAGCTCCGCTCTCAGTGTGCGCGCTCTCATACAAGTAGTGTGTTTGTTTCAGAGAGCTGATAAGCCGTCAGCCGTCAGCTCCGCTTTCAGCTCGTAGTGTGCGCGCGGCCTTACATCATTAACGGCATCGTTCTTCACACACGGCAACACATTAGAACACTTTAAGTTGCAACTAATGAGACTCCAAAACATAATTGTTGGCATTTAGTTAGATGAGCGGCGCCAGGTTGACACACACTCGTACAGTCGCACACCCGCACACCTGCACACTCGCTTCGCACACTCGAAAAGTGACACGGCATGAAGATGAAGCAAATAAACAGCAGCAACAAAGGTGTGTGAGTGGGTGTACGTACTAGGGTAGTGCTAGTTGGACAGCCTCAACGAAAACAAATGCACCTAATGACACAATTTCCCACACACTCGCACACACACATACACATAGAAAAACTGGAGCAGGAAAAACTGTTATACCCGCCAAGAAAGAGCGTCTGCGAGTGAGAGAGAGAGCTTGAAAAAGTCCCGGCCTCTCATCGTTTTTAAGCCGAAGCTGCTGCGGCGAATTGGGGGAAATCCCGCGAAAGTCGGCTCTTGGCAATTCGTTTGCCAGTTGAAAGTGGCCAACAAAGCGAAGCAGTTCTGGCCAAGCCGGCAAATTGTGGCGAGCGAAAGACGAACGTCATCGACGCGTGTTAGCCAAGTTAAGTGAGTGGAAAGCGATCATTGACGGATACCGGGACATGACTACGGAAATTGATAGAGACTGACACTGCCATTGATTCATCAGCGAAAATACTCCACGATCTTCTCTACTTCCGGGTATGTTTTTCACTGATTTCACTAACTTTTTCTTTAACTCCAAGTCCAGGAAGCTGCCTTTAAAATCCCGGCATCCAGTCGAAGTTTCAGGTTTCAACTTGTAACCTAGTTTTTGTTAGTAATGCCATGTGCCTCCTTGTTTCCAAGTGCGCGCTTTTCTTGTACTTTACGCTGGCGCGCTGTTTTCCGCCTCTTTTCCTGTGCATTTTCTTGAATTTCTGCCATATAAATTCATGTTTAAACCACCTCCAGTCCCCTGGATATCCTCACAAAAAAAGAAATAAGCAAAAAACCAGATGAAGAAAATCCAACAAGAAAAGGGAAAAACACGAGAGAGAACAGCACTGAAAAGTGCAATGGCAGCCCGGAAGCGGCGGGCGGGCAACTGTGATTTGTATGAATGCTGCCATTAAGCTGACACGGCTTGAATGTACCTCCCTGTGCGGCCAACGAGGCGTATGCGTAACGCGAGACGGGCACTTGGCACAGGCGGTGGCGTATGCGTGATATGTGCTAGGAAGAAACTTTTAATCTGTCCGCGTATTACACAAAAGTTTGGATCCCTCCCACCCACATATCTGCCACGAATTCAATTGCCTTGAGTTTTATTTAGAAACAAATGGTGGCAGAGACTTTTCCGTGCGTATTTCTTGTTGTTGTTCTTGGTGCTGTTGTTGTTTTATTTTAAATGACATGAATTAAGATAACAAATTCGCAGAACACAGAAAACACAGAACCGAAGCTAAAAGAAAATAAGAAGGAAAACAGGGGAAATGCTGTGAAACTTTTTTCCACCCGAGACAAAAGCCCGTGAGGAAATTGTTGCGGAGCGCAAATAGAAAAGCCGGCAAAAGCAGCAACAACAATTGGTAATACTTAAGCCAAAGTCGCGACGCTGTCAAAGTCAGGAAGCTGTGCTGCTGGGACGAGGGAAAACCGACTGCTTTCCCTTGAAAAAGTCTAATAAATTAAGCAATTTACATGAATTGTCGTTTGCTGTGCAGCAGCAGCAGCAGTAGAAGCAGAAGCAGCCGCTTCCTTAGCATCCTTACTTTACTTATTTTCCTCATTTTCCCTTTTTTTCCCCCGCCCCGCCCCGTAAGACAACTCATTTGTTTGTCTCTGGGATTTGTCAGGGGTAGAGCCCACCCCCCTGCGTTTGCCAAAAAACTTTGCCACTCGCTGACAATGATTCAAAAGGCAGGTAACCGAGGAAAATCCAAGCAATTTGTTTAATTTCATTACATTTCGGTATGCGATGTTGTTGATGTTGTTTTGCAGTTTCCAGCGCTGTATGCGCTTATCTCTGCACATTTGCAACTTTTGCCGGACCCATTTTCATGTTGGGCTTCCTCCCCGACTAGTTGTTTTTATTTAGAAATGAAATTTATGTGCATATTTTGGCCATTTTGACTTTGAGCTGTTTTTCTTGTTGCACACTCGTGTATAAATGTCAACTCGAGTGCCACAGGGCACTAAGCATATGGCATGCCCCTTCTATCTCTCCCTCTGAAAATATTTTATATGTTTGGCGCTTTTTATTTTTGTATCTTTCGGGTAAAGTTTCTTCTATGCCCCACAGATAACCGGCAACAGTTCAAAGTTTCAGCTTGGTTTATGTGTTGTGGCAGGGGCGGACGGAAAAGTTTGGTCGGTGGAGGCTTAGAGCTAATTTTTCGCTTAAAGTCAACATGTGGCACAGAAACCTAATCAAACTATTGATTGTTTGACTGATTGTGGCAGCAGCTGGCAATGTTTTTATTGCCAAAGCGACAGGTAAAAGTTGCCAGCGAATGAAGCAACTTTCCCTCATCTTGGCTTTAACTTTTTCGGGAAAGTTTTCGCTTTTCGCTTTGCGCCTTGCGCTTTCCCTTTTGGCGCCACAGGAAATTGATTTCTGATGTGGCCCCGAACTCCTTCACCGAATTCTGCGAAATGGAGCCATCAGATCACATCACTTTGTGCTGTGATGCCTTTGGTGTTCTGTTTTCTTGTTTTTCTCTGCTTTTTTTTTTTTTTTTTGTTGGATTCGATTTCGCCGGGGGACAGACACACAGGTTAGGTGTTATAACCCCTTTGACATGCGTAAATATTTTCCCTGCACTCTGCTCTCCCCCATTTTCCGCATGCTTTTTATTGATTTTGCATAAGCAGCCGAGCGGAGCGGTGTGAGAAATTGAATCTCACATAAAACGCTGCAAGTACTTTGCATATAAAATCAAGTATACGACACGTTGGGCCCCAACACACTTGTTTGTCTTTGTGCTGCGCAACTACACACAGCCCTCGACCGAACCGAGAACATCTTCTTTCTATTAAGAATTTCGAATTTAGAGTTCGGAGCTGGTCAAGACCAAAGGCAAAGTTTTCCCGGCCTCAACTTGCACTCTGGCACTTAATCAACAACGAAACTAAATGCGGTCGGTGGTCGAGAGGTGCCCCTCATGCTCCTGACAAATGTGTAAATACCCAGACTCGCCCCGAAGGCCACATGCAAATGCTGTTGAAAACATTTTGGCAATTGCATAAAGTTTCACTTTGCCCCGAAAATTGCTCAAGCACCTGCTATTCTATTTGCAGTGAAATAAAAATAAGGAATTTCATGCTTTCATCTGCACAGAGCAAAAATATGACCAGAAAATATTTATTATTTCAAAGAAATTGCTGAATTAGTACCCAACAAGCAAGAGGATATATGATAAACTTAATTGAATGAACTGAAACGACTTAATCATGATTTTTCCGAAAACTATGAGTAGATTTTAATTCATAAAAATCAGTTTTAGGTAAATTTGCCTATGTACTTCCCTTCGACTCTTCAGTCTCCAAAAAATGTGTTATATTCGTTGCATAATTATTTTTTTTATGCCCAACGAAACACACATTTTGTCACTGGCTGTGGCTAAAATGGCATTTTTGCGCTTATTTAAGCCATTGCATAAATTTCAACTGAAAATGAATGCCAAACCACACACACCCGTGTGTGTGTGTTGGTGTATGTAAATTTACTTTGTGAAAGGCGGAGGGGCAGAATGGAGGTGAGAATGGTGGATCCTGGGGCAAGTGCAGGAGCCAGGACCAAGGCATAATGTGTGCTGGCCTTTAGCAACCAGACAGACGTGTTTCAGACATTTAGCATATAGCCGCACACTCCCCATCACACACACACACTGAAAAAGTACACCCTCGCACACATACAAACACTCCGGCAGGAGGCCGACACACACACACACACACACACATGCGCACGCCTCAATGTCAAAGTTGTCCAAAGAATGTGTGCGAAAATATTTTGCGAAATAAGGCGCGAATGAAAAATTTATAAAATATTCAAATAAGCACTTCGCATTTTAGCACCACGATAAGGAAATGCTCGCCCTCATAAAAAATATCTGTGGCAGTCGCAGAACCAAAAAAAAAAATTACGAAAATATGCAAAATTTTCATAAAATTAAGCGAGATGCAAGGGGTGTCCAGAGGGGGGAATGGCTGGTAGTCGAACTTGTTTTTTTAACGCAAAACCAAAGCCCTCAAACTTGAGCGATAAACGCAAAAACGTTTCATTCGGCCAAAATAAAACGATAAAGGAGCAAAAATAACGAAGCAACAAGAGGAGGAAAAAAACTATTTAAGTTTTAAGCGTTTGACGCTTTACAACCGCAAAATGTCGACACAAAGTTTCACACGCATCCCACCGCCATTTGCCATTTTCTCCCTTTCCCTCCTCCTCGAAATGGGAAAAGTGGGGGGAAAATGGGGAAAATGCGAAGCCGAGCAACGGCATCACTTCATTGCCATGTTAACCCAAAGTCATAAAGTCAAGGATAAAATGCAAAAGTGCCGAAGTTTTAATTTAAATTTGAGCAGCTATGCGCGCAGCCCAGATAAAAAATATGATCTCGCAAAAATAATACAGAGCGGGAAACTTTTGTCAGGCAGAATGTACGAGTCGGTCCTCCTTCTTTTTCTTCACTCACTACCCCAGTTGCCAATAACTCAGCGCGGTTCCCAGATACAGAAATTGAAGTTTCTGGCAAGATGACAATGTACACAGAAAAATACCAGAAGATATTGGGGTACTTGAAAACTATTGTCATTAAATTAATAATAATAATTAACAGAATAAGACATATCCCAAGAAAATCAACAAGAAACAAAATTTTAAATCATTTCTCATTTATTTTAGAACTCTATTTCTTAGGAAATCCCTTCAAGATACCTTTCCCTTATTTCCCAAGTTTCTTTCCATGTGACAAGAAGTTCGAGTGGAGAAAGTAGAAAAAGTGGGGCTAGGAAAGGGCCGCAAAAGAGTTACGATGCCTTTGAGTAAAGCACTTTCTGTGGTGGCCGCCCTAGCCCAGCCGCTGTCGTTATCTGCATAACTCATACGCACTGTGGCCGCCGCATAGTTTATTCGAGAGCAGGGAACAGAGAGCCAGAGAAAAGCCGGGAACTGCACAAAAATTTGCAACACATGGCAAACGCTTCCTACAGCAGCTACCCACACATGCTGCGATTTAAGCTTACGTAAATATGGCCAGACTTTCCAGCTTTCAGCCAGCATTTTTTCATCTTGGCAACACATCCTTTTCCCTCGCGCCACTGGCTTATCGACTTGCGCTCCCGGCTCCCAGCACCTGGCTGGTAAACTAGGTAAACTCTTTGCGGCACGACTCGAGTATTATCTATGCATGAGTGTTTTTAATTTCTCCGCCCGCCTCGCCCAACGTCACCAGCGACTTTTTGCCCCGATGCACCGATTAAGCTCCAAGCCACCAGTTGTTAAGGGCCACTTTACCCAGAAGGTTAAAAAATAAAGGAAGAAATCTAAACCTTAGTTATTGAAATTCACAGAGTTTATATAACGGACCTGCTCTCTTTAGTAATCACCATTCAGCAAGCGGTAAATACTTTGGAGTAAGTGCGGCATATTAAATTCTCAGAGCATCTGTTTAAATATTCTTTGCTGAATTAATCAACGATATGGAGAGCAGAGTAAA